TGCTGGCTTTAAAATCAAGTATGGGATGGTGTGCTTTTACCTGCTGGTAAGAGAAGCAGGGAAGGAGCTGCTTCTGGGAAACAGTGCTCCCAGTGCCCAGGAGACTGGGGAAAAAGTGTCATCTTCCTTCCCAAGGTTGTGCCCGTTGCAGTGAAAGATGTCTGCTTGCTTTTCAAAGCCCCCTTGAACCATCTGTCCTCTGTGCAGGTAAAAAGTCTCAGACCAAGAATAAACAAGCCTCTGGGGAAAAAGTCGACAAGAAGGATGCCAAAGACAAGACCCCTCCAGCACAAAAGAAGAGGGATCCAGCCAGCAAACTCGACAAAAAGGACACCAAGGTAAATGTGATCCGCCCTGGCTGATGTCTGGGACCTTTGCATTGTCTTTGAGATGGGCAGGGGCTGCTTACAGTGGAGGCTCTGCACCAGCCAGGGCCTGGTATGTGTGTCCATAGTGCCATGACTTGGGCTGGGAATGTGCTCTGGCAGACAACTCCACTGGTTCTCAGTGGTTTGCTGGCAAAGTGCAGTCCTGGCTAGTGTGGCTGCAGGCAGTGAGCAAAGTGCTGGGCCTCACTTGGGATGTTCCCAACCTCTGTGGGTTGAGGAAAATTCACGGAAATAGTCTCGTGGTTCTGCCTGGCCTCAGGGTCCAGGAATGAAGTGCAGGGCCAGCCAGGATGAGTGAGCCCAAGTTTCTGGTAGTGACTCTCAGCGATTATTTCTGTTTTGTTTGCTGAAGGGAGCTGAAGCAGCTGGCTCAAAAGCTTGAGGAGAAGGAAAAAGCCTTAGAGGAGGAAGGGAGGTGGAAGGAGGAAAAGAAGGGTGTCTCTGTGGGGAATCAACCTATAAAACCAGAGAAGGGGAAAACCAAGGCCCCAGAGAAGGAGGAAACCAAAGCCTCAGAGAATAAAACCAAGCTTCCAGAGAAAAAGGAAACCGAATCACCAGAGGGGAAGGAAACCAAAGCCCCAGAGAAGGGGGCAACCAAATGCTCAGAGAAGTGGGAAACCAAAGCTGCAGAGATGGAGGAAACCGAAATCCCAGAGGACCCAGCTGAGATGGAGAATAACTTGATCCTGAGGTTTCAGATCTATGAGTCATCACAGCAGAACGTTGCACAGGTTTTCTCCTACTGGAACAGGATTCAGGGTACCGTGCAGTTACCTGTGATCCAGAAGGGAAACAAGTCCCAGTCTTCAGCTGAAAACAAAGGTCAGAAGACCAATAAGCCTCAGGAGAAGGTGGAGAAGAAGCCTGAACAAAAAAGTGGAGACCAAAGGAGTCTTCAGTCATCTCAGCTGGATACACAAAGTGAAGTTGCAGAGGGGGCAGTCAGAGAAGAGCACGTTGGGGTGCCGTGCCTGGACATCCAGGTCTCAGATCCAAAGGCCATGATCAGAGAGATCCTGAGGGAAAGGAAGCTGCCAACAAAAGATGAGGTAACACCCTGCAAGGCTCAGATCTTGAGCTTGCTGTGGTCTTGGGCCCTGGAGCATTGTGTCCCCCCAGGTGATAATGGCACAGAGCCTTGTCCAGGTCCCTGATGACTCCACAATGTTCTCGATCATCTGTGTGGATGGAGAGGTTATCACCATTCCTCAGATGGGTAGGAAGTGGGAGTGCTCTGTGTACAAGTACCCCATCTGTTCAGGCTTTCCCAGCCTGGAAATCATAAACCATCCCAGGACAGGGCAGCCCACAGTCATTGTTTTCTACAGCTGAGTCACATAGGAGAGGTTTCTCTCCCGGTCCTGCTTGTAGCTCTTGTGTCTGCTCTGGAGCCTGCTCACCCCACTGGGCATAACAAAGCACCTGTGCTTCATGTAAATTAAAAACCCCATTGCCAAAAGCTCAGTGCCTTTAAAGGAGTTGTAAGGATGAAGGTGACAGAAGTATAAACAGGATTTTGCCTTCTGTTTTAGATGCTGAAACATGTGGGACTGCATCCCGACGGCCCTCCCCTTCCCCCCGGTGGTGTGCTCTCCATAGTGGAGTACCCAGAGGAGAGGTTGGGCTCTGCAGAGCGTGTGGAGCCCTTCACCATTGTGGCACCTGAAGGTGCTGCTGTGGAAGACAATCTGGTGGGTGCTGCAGTGGTGCTGGCGCTGAAGGCTAGACGGGGACATGGGGGACAGTTTGGATGGAAAGGGAGCATTGTGGAGAAGTAGTGAAGATGTGATGGGGCCCTGTGTCTGCAAGTCTCCTTTCTGTCAGGGATGGGAGAAAAGAGACAGCTCTGCTGGAGACAGAGCAGTTCTGTAAGACAAAAGGGAAAAAACCCACTTAAAACCATGAACTTCCTTTGAGGAGAGGGTCCTGAGTGAGAAGGGGGGTCCTAGGCAAAACAAACACCAATAAGGAAGACCAAGTCCATGGTGCTGGAGACAGAGCAGTTCTGTAAGACAAAAGGGAAAAAACCCACTTAAAACCATGAACTTCCTTTGAGGAGAGGGTCCTGAGTGAGAAGGGGGGTCCTAGGCAAAACAAACACCAATAAGGA